GTCTTCATTAACAGATTTCTTTCCTGATTCAACTTTCACAATATCCCAGGTGGTTTTAATTTTATTGTTTGATTTTAGAATTTGGCTGTTATAGTTATTCTGTTTGGCTTCTTTAATGACTTTTGACAAAATTTTACAGTACATTTTGTAGTGACTTTTTAGTCTTGGATCATTACTGTCCCTACTGGCCAAATATAGTTGTCTTTTATGTTTACATGAAGTTTTTATTCCAATTGTTATCCAGGTGGATTTGTTTTTATTTTCATTTTTGACTATTTTTAAGGGAAAGCTTCAATAAAAGATCCTCAAGTATGTGTTCAGAAAGCAATTAAATTTAGAATCAATTTTATTGCTGTCAAATACATTGTCCCATGATTCATTACTTAATTTTGTGACAAAATCTGCCATTGTATGCTTGTTGATTTTCCTTACTGTTTGATATTGTTGATTACTGGACTGAAGGTCAATATTATTTATTTCTATGAGTTGAGCATCATGATCGGTTAAGCCATTTATAAAGGGTCCTACAGTATAGTCTCTTAATTTTGATTTTATTTTTGATTATCTCAATAACAACCTGTTCATATAAAACAGGTCTACCTGTGTCAGCCCCTTCTCCAGTTTCCACTATTACGGTTAGATCATCTCCCATTTCCACCCTCACCCCCCCAATCCCAACAGAGGCTGTATAAAATGAGAAGAGGATGAAAAGCCTAGTTCACATATGTCCACTTCTCCAAAGTTGTGTATATAACAAATGAAAATAACAAGGACAGACAGCATGCAGACAGAATAACCTATGGTCAGATAAATGGGAGTTACGTACATAACAGATGGTTATATGTCTAGCACTTGATGTTCATAAAGTGCATTATACATGCCTGTCCAGCAGATGAAAGGAACCGGTTCAGTCTCACAGTATCGACCCTCAGTCTCTCTTTCCAGGACTCAGGATCACCTTCCAATGTGTCTCCACCAACTCCAAGATGGTCCTGGAATAAATACTATATAATTTACTGGATAGACTACAACTTAACAAGCAACTGGCTAAAAGATTAGAAATATATTATACAGTGTTTTGTAAAATGCCATTAAGTTCGAGCTACTAAAAACGTAGAACTCTAAATGTGGGAACAAACATCCATCTGTAAAAACTTAAAATGTCTTAACTTGAACTACAGAAATCAATGCAACAAAGAAATATCAATACTGGCCTCATATCTGTTACATTCAATTGCAGAGTCATTATTTATTCTAGACATGAGAATACAACCCACACTGAAATCAGATAATCAAAGTAGTAATGTTCACAGATTTCTTATAGTAACTGCAGACTTAACTCATTCAACGATACAGTTCATTTTCGTGATATACCATCTGTTTTACAACAAGAAGCAAATTATATATATATATATTATTATTATTATATATCTAGTTTATTTCCTTGTACTGATTACATGTTGCTGCCAATCACAGTGGCTGTGCGGTCTAAGGCATTAACTGTCTTTGCCCGCTCCAACACTGGGATCATGTGATTGAATCCCACTCGAGGCATGGATGCCTGTGTTGTTTTGTGTGTAGGCAGTGGCCTTGCGATGGGCTGATCCCCCATCCAAGGAGTCCTACCTACTGTGTGTGGATTAAGAAACTGAAGAAGTGGCCAAGGTCCACAAGGGCTATACAGCCACATACAGATAGGTTACATGTTGTTAAAACCTTGAGATGTTTTGGTCACACAAGATCGTGTAACATGTACTCAATGCAATGAAATAAACTAGATTCACTTACACGGTAATTTGCATGTTCTTCTAACTTACATAATGTAGAAAATAACATTATTACTAATCTACAATAATTTATGAACAATGCCTCGCTAATTAAGGAAATGTTTGGAGAGAGTCTGTCTGTAACTGTTTCACACATTGCATCAATAAAGCAGTTTTTATCCCAAACAAGCAATGCTGCTTATCAGTGAAGAAATTCTTATGTCTTCATACAGAGGTTAGAACAAAATTTAGGCTTTATACAATTTCAGAAATGTCCCAGTGGAATCTGAAATAAGCTGAATGATGATAGCCTGAACACCTCAGTGCTTTATTAGTTCCGATTATCAAGGTTACACTGTACTGTCAAGAGCTTCAGTCAGTTTCAGGTAAACTGTGTCTAGATTACAAAAAAACTGAAGGACTTATGTGGGAGGCATGTATGACAGCATTACTGACATCTCCATATCTCTTACACTAAAGAGGGCAGTTTATTGAACATATTTTCAGTGACAAAACAATAATACATTTCTGATCCCTCAAAAGGAAGGGTCAGCAAAAAGAGTTCATACACACTGCTCTAGGCAATGCTAACCATACTCAGTCTTCATACAAAATACATAATAATATTTGTTCCTTTTGCACAACTCACGGAAGTGGGTGGTACTATGACTGATAGGGTAAATTAAAAATGGCAAAAATAAGTCTAAACAGAAATAACAAGAACATACTAATGATAGACCGCCTCTGTGGTCTGGTGGTCACAGTTCCTGCCTACAGATCCAGAGGTCCCAGATTTGATTCCAGGTGCTACCAGATTTTCTACCGATGAGGTCATTGAATTTTTTCAATTGACCTAATCCTTCCGGCCACACTATGGCCCTGGGGTTGACTCAGCCTCTAACAGAAATGAGTGCCAGGAATTAAATAAATAATTTTCCTGGGGAGTAAAGCGCGGCGGGTGCGTAAGGCTGACAACCTTACCGCCATCTTTGAGCCGATTGTCTAGATAATGTGGGACCCTCAACGTCTCACAACCCTATGGGCCTTCATGGCCTGTTACAGGGATAGCTTTACTTTTACTTTTACCAGATTTTCTAAGAATTAGTGGGTCTGGAACTGGGTCCACTCAGCCTCATGATGATAATTGAGGAGCTATTTCAAGGAAATAGCTGCTCCAGTCTAGAAAACCAAAATTAATGGCCGTGGAGACTTGTTGCGCTGACCATGCGACACCCTCTATCCACTAAAGTTGGCACTAAATTTGCCAGCAAGTGGTGGTCGCCGGGTTGGTATAGTTCACTTACAGACTAAATCCACAGTTGGTTTATACAAATGATATAATCTGAATGGGACAAACATAACTTCAAACTGAAACAAAGGGTCAAATTTTGATTCTATTATAAACAACATTCTTTACGAAATGTAATTAAGGATGAAAAACTGTGGACTTTTAGTACCTCAGAGGAAACATACACCACTCAATCTATGTATACATTTAACAGAGTAATTATCATTAACTAGATTTATACTGTAAATATCACCTGTGAAAATATAGTAACTTCATCCACAGAGTTCTTGTCACTGTTCCTGGTTTGAAAGGAGACTGGCTTCTGGGTCCACTTATCCTTACAACTTATTTCATCAGTCTGTACTTCTTCACAGAGGTTATCTTCATTAGTCTGTACATGGGCCTGAAGCAGGGGTTATCACATTCAGAATATCAGTCAAAATAAACTGTAATGGGAAAAACAGCAGAATGGATGTCTGTAGGTGGGAGTCTTTCTGAAAAACTTTCCCACATGCAGCTTTGTCACTCAGAACTACTTAAACTGTGTTGTATGTTTCTTCAATTTATTTATTTACTTTATATGTTCATGAATTGTGGCTCAGTTCAAATATTTGGGAACAACAGTAACAAACCAAAATTTGATTCAGGAGGAAATTAAGAGGAGAGTGAATTTGGGTAATGCTTGTTACCATTCAGTCCAGAACCTGTTGTCTTCTCGTCTGCTGTCTAAAAGCGTAAAAATTAAAATATATAATAGTATAATTTTGCCTATGGTTCTGTATGGGTGTGAAACTTGGTCCCTGACATTAAGGGAGGTACAGAGACTGAGGTTGTTTGAGAACAGGGTGCTGAGGAGACTATTTGGACCCAAGAGACATGAAGTGATAGGAGGTTGGAGAAAATTGCATACTGAGGAGCATCATAACTTGTACTCTTCGCCAAGTACTATAATTAGAATAATCAAGTCAGGGAGGATGAGATGGGCAGGGAAAGTAGCATGAATGGGGCAAAGATGACTACAAATAGGATACTGGTGGGAAGGGCAGAAAGAAAGATACCACTAGGAAGGTGAAAATGTAGGTGGGTGAATAATATTAGGATAGATCTTAAGAGATAGGGTGGGGTGGTACGGACTCGATTGATCTGGCTCAGGATAGGGACCAGTGGAGGGCTCCATAAAATGCTGGGAAGTTCTTGAATAGCTGCACAACTGGTGGCTTCTCAAGAAGGGCTCAGCTCCATGAAGTTAGTTATATGTTTATGATTTATTCAACAGTGCTCTCAATAGCTAGATGATAGAGTAGGATGACTGGTGAATAATAAATAGGAAGGAATATGGGGGGTAGTGGTCTGAGTATTACACTGGCCTGGAGGGACTGAGAAAAACAATGACAAAACTTCAGTCAGGACAGCTGGTCTCCTGGCTGAATTTTTAACCCAGGACCTCTCAAATACAAAGCAGAAGTGCTACCCACTGAACTATGATGCTCAGTAATCTGTCATATGATTTCTATATTATTTATTTGTATTTCTTCTTGGTTTATTTAACCATGCTTTGTCAACTGCTTAGGTTATAGAAAAATGGATGGTGTAATGACTGGGAAGGCTGTAAAAAGGAGCTCTGGCCTACTTTAAGTTTCCACTCTGGAATTTGTTCGAAACATCTAGAGAAAACCACCGAAACCAGAATCGGGAGAGCAGGTCTGTGAACTGAGATACAGGGACCTCCTCAATACAAAGAAGTACCAAATGAACCATTTCACTGTGATGTTTAGTCACAAGACCTTACCAATATATTTTAACACCTCAAGTGGTGTTTTGTGTTTGTTAACCTTTAGGTTGCTTAGCATGCAATGTTATGGCCTCCAGCAATATGACATCCTTGCTGCTTCAACATCCTGATGGCTGCAACTTCAGAAACATGGGCACCAACACTAACTTTCTGAATGCATTCAGACTTCTTGCATATACTTCCATCTATCAGGAACATACTGAACTTCAAGTTAGACCTCTGTGATGAATCCATATAGCATCTATAGAAGAATTTGTAAATTGCTGTATGAAGATGTGGGGTTAACATATTGTGACATGTTGACCCCTACCTCCCCAGCGGTATGTGGCGGTGACGTAACGCTCGCGTTACTACGGTAATAGGCGAGTTCCCGCCCCGCCACTCCCCTCCGCGGTGACGTCACCGACGGATATCGCGGTCGCTAGGCAACGCGAATCAACAGCGGCGACGTTACGATAGTAACAGCGGTGACCTCCGCTAGCGTTACATAGCAACACAGCGCCAGGCAAAAAGGGTGCTTATTACGTGGCCGTTTTCCCGTATTGTCCGATCGGGGCTACATAGGGAGCAGCGAAGGCTATTCACAGGGAGTTATAAAGCAACAGTCGCCGAGGTCAGTTGTACTAGTGAGTTGTACTAAGTTGTACTAGTGAGTTGTACTAAGTTGTACTAGTGAGTTGTACTGTAACAGTCGCCGAGTTGGATTCAGAGTCAGTCAGCCAGTCAGTTGTATTGTGGCATTTGGAGTGTACTATTTGTGATACTGCAGATAGCAGTAATCGTCAGATTGTAATTTGGGTGATTGTAAGAGCGAATGTGAAATAAAATTCGCTATATAAAATACATCGTGAAGTTATTTGTCGCGATATACCCCGCGATACACGACAATATAATACAAGCTACACTTACTGATCTTGGCCACAAAACAGACAGCAAAAATGGAAATCCACATGTATTCTGAAACCAGTTTCACAACACAATTAAAGAGTTAGCGTATATTAACTCAATTTTTTTTATTTATACTGATTTCAAGATTCAAGAAAACTTAGCCAGCACAGGTTGTATGGCTGATCACCAGTTACTTGGCAGTGAAAGATCTAACCACGAACTGGATCAAGAATTTAAAATATTGTGACTTGCTTCAGTAACTATAGATGGGGTTTGGATTGGTAATCAGATTTATTGAACACTTACACTCTCATAACTACAAATAACTAGAACAGTCTACTGTGTTACATACTCTAAAGACCATTGTAACTACAGCACACATAAAGTCTCCTCAATCTTCACTAGCCATTGCTTGGTAGTGGCTTTAATGGTGGATGTTCCCCTTCCTCTGGGTTCCCAAACTGTCCCCAGCCTCAGGTATCAGCTTCTCACTTCTCACAACTGCAACTCTAAACTGACTCGACCACTGAACTTGTCCTCATTATATAGCCCCAGCATGGACCGCACAGAAAATGTCTTTTCCATTACTGCATGTTTTCTCATTACCATGGAAATAACATGTCCTCAGAGCTATTCCCTAACAGTGGTTGTTGTACTGTCACCTATTTACACAGCTGTTACTTAGCAATGGGTCTACATGTCACAGTATTTTAATTTAACAAGGTATGTAGGTGGTTCACGGTTAACCTTGACTTGATTTTGCTCCTGAAAATGTGGGCACCAGAAAAATAAACTCTTTCATGGACAGTTGGTTGCAACAGTGCACTCACTGCCTGGCACATAGCCATGTGTCTCAGTTCTGCACGTTAGAGCTAGTACATGATGACATCGATCTTGTCACACCTAGTGTAGAACAGTGTTATATCATCATCTTCACAGTAAATGAGAAAGTGCAACTAGCAGAAATTCTTCCTAGGTTCAGTAAACGGTATGGGCAAGAGACCTTGTCACATGCAAGCATCTATGATGGGCACATTAGGTGTTTTGAATGCTGTAAAGAAGTTCAAGACACAGCTATCAGCTGGCAATAACAAGCAATTCAGGAGAAAAGACATGGGAAACTGACAAAGGTCAACCTACTGCATTGCAACATTCATCCATGTATGACAAATTTAACAAAGGTGACACCGGAAACACTGGGCTGAGAAATCACACACCACCCTCTTTATAGCCCTGATATAGCCCTCACTGAGTTTCATTTGTCTGGACCAATGAAGGTGCATCTAGCAGGGTAGAAATTTCAAACTGATGATGAACTCAAACGTGGTGTCCTGAACTGGCTTCACAGTCAGGATAAAACTTTTTATGGTGCATCTTCTATTCCTGTTGCTCCCATGTGGAGCACAGGGCACCCATGAAACTCTTCATTTCACTTCAATTTCTTAATCTAAGACAGTCGGTAGGAATCCCTGATTGGGGATCAGCCTGTCGCAAGGCTGCTACCTAACACAAACAGGCATCCATGCCTTGAGTAGGATTCGAACCCATGATCCCAGTGTTTGAGTGGGCAAAGACATTTCACACCTTAGACTGCGCGGCCACTGTGATCAATCTTTTCTGCTGGTATCAGTAAATTTCCAGGGAAATAGAAAAATTGTGTTAGTTTAAAGGATATGGAAAATGAATGAGTTTGATTCTGGCACATATAGTCTTCTTGTAAAAAAAAAAGTCCAGGTTATTCTTGAATCACCATCATGTTTCTTTGATTTGAAAGGCCACTGATATGAAATTTAAATGATGGTTCCTGAAAACAATGCACATGGGTGACATATAGTCTCATGATTACCTGCAGAGTGTTTGAGCATCCATAGATCTTCATATACACTTCATACGGAACAGGAGTGAGCTCAAATAAAGTGAAATTCACTGTATCAAGCCGAATCATGTCAAGAAGTTCCTCACCTCTCTTCTTAGCAGTAGCAGTTGCCTGTTCATGAAAAGTTGAGCTTTTTATAAAGGAAAATAATAAGACAGAAAAAATCTTAAATAGAGGATTATAACATAATAGACAAAATGGGACTCTATAACCCACCTTCTTTCCTTGTTTTCTTTTTCTTGCATTGGCAAAATTGATAAAATTTAAATGTGTAACTGGTGTAGAGAATTTTCTGTTGTCATCCATTTTACCTTCTTCATAACCCTCATCAGCTGGCACATTGTGTTCAACTGTATGAGATACTGTCTTCCTGATCAAACAAAAAGAGAGACTGTATTATTGAACAGACATGCAAATGGATGCTCACATCATTAGTACGAGTATGTACTGATGCTATATACTGCATTCTGAGCTACTGACAGTGGCATTAAATGAACCACAATTAAATAAATTAATATGCAGTGAACATCTGGCAGAGAAAACATTCATGAGTTTTATATCACTGTCATGAGAGGCATCCTGATTCCAAGCAGTTCACTTGCCATAATCCAGTAAGTATGGAGAATGAGATGTCACAGTGACATTAATCTACCAGCTGCACAAGGAAAACTTACAGAAACCCAAATTTTTATGATTTTTACCATTTTCTGGTCTTTCACACAGATTTCCATTTTCTGTTTCACAGTCAAAACATACTTCTACTTTAATGCCTGAATGGGAAACAGACCGATGGAAGAAAGATTCCAGACATTGATCACAGATTCAACTAGTTTCTATTGCAGTCATGGATCACTATAACTGTAGTAATGGCATGTGGAGGCGGGGAGATGATGGTAAGCACTGCTAGTGGCTGCTGGTGAACAGATGTGCATTGCAACTTTGTTTCTGAAGTAAATTTATATAAATTGTAAATGTTCTTTGAAACTTCTGCTACTTGCATGAGAATTCCAGATATGCTATAACTGAACATTTATTATATGATGTTGGTATGAAATCAATAAGTTTCAGACATAATGAATTTTGGAGAATGGGTGATGTGTATGTAAGTTTTAAACTCTCTTTGACACTTGACTGTGCTAACACTTAACACATGCTCTACAGTTATTCACTCTGTTCATTTGGGTGCAGCTAAGGAACTAATGCAGATAAGTTAATCTTGTAGTGAACATATACACACAGAATGAATATAAATGCCTGGTGTTTAACTAAATTATTAAGCCCTTTGCCCACTACACCAGGGTTATCCCCAGACAGTGCAGTGCTTCACCCATAATAACCCAGCCTGTAAATTATACAGAGATCTTTTACATTTTTCTGATGAGACCTACAGATTCAGCAACAAACTGTACATACTCTGCCATCATCTGACAGGCATTTGGAAGTATATGAAAGTTTCTTCCATTATTCAGCAGTCAAAGGAAGGCAAAGCTCTGAATTAGTGTTACCACTCAATGTATCAGCTGCATGCATAGCCAGCCTTGTGTGAGATGGTGGCTTGGGACAACTTGGTGCTCCATATCACTGTTTAAGGGTCCTCTGCTTTATTAACATATGCCCCATAAATTGACTACCGGTGCTCAGGACAGCATACAATTAGGATCACACAAAATTATACAGAAATGAACATGCTAAGATATCATAATTTGTTGTTAAAAAGACTGAATAGAGTAAAACTCTTAGAATTGAACCCAGGATGTACTCAGTTCGAATCCTAGCCGGGACACCTGCTATCGTGACTGTGTTTGTGGATTTCCTCAGTCTTTCCAGGCAAATGCAGAGAAAGTACCTCAGTCAGGCCATGACCACTTCCTTCCAAATCTCTTCAAGTAACCAAGTCACCTTATCATCTGACACATACATAACCCACTAGATAAATTGGAATTGTTGTTAAAAATGCTCACACTTACTGTAGCAGTATGGTGACACTTTTTTCAGATGCAAAACCATTCATAAAGAAATTGCCTGGTGCATAGGTTTTCAGAATGGTCTGCTCTCTTCAGGTTTCCAACTAAAATTTTGTAAATGGCTTTAACTTCCTACTCATGTTATCTTCCTTGAACTGATCACTTGGTAATATTTGTTAAAGAGTAGAAAACACAAATCTTGTCATTATGAAATTCTCTCCATCCACTTTTCTCTCTTAAGACAGATATTATATCCTAGAAAACACTGAACTAACAAACATTAAAGGGATTTTCCATTGCCTACCAAAAAGGTGTTTAGAAGATGAGGTAAATCTAAGAGATACGAGTACAAGACAATAACTTTCAGCATCTTCTATAACATGAAGTTAGATTAAAATCTAAAAAGGTAAAGCTGTCTCTGTAACAGGCCACTGAGACCCATAGGGTTGTGAGATGTCGAGGCTCCCATATTTTCTAGATAACTGGCTCACAGATGGCGGTGAGGTCAGCCTTACATGCCGGCTGCCCTTTACCCCCAAGAAAATTTCTGGTGCTCATTTCTGTTACAGTGTGACTCGACAACAGGGTCATAGTGTGGCTGGAAGAATTAGGTCAATTGAAAAATCCAATAACCTTATCAGGAATTGAACCCACAACCTTCCAGCTTGTAGCACAATGCCTCAACCAACTACACTACTGTGCGCCCTCACATATGAAATATTATGATGAAACATGTCACATTTTGAGAAACTTACTTTCATCCAATAAAGTCACAACACTCCTGTTTACACTTAATATCCATTTGGGGACATAATCTCAGAACAGAATCTGCAGAGGTGGGGAAAATTTCAGGGGCAGGTTTATGTGGTTAAATGAAAAACTAAACTGAGCTAAATTTCACTGCAACATCCAACTGCTACATACTCGTATTATGCCCACTTCTCAACATCCACCGTGTAACCATATCAACAATTCATTGGATCTATGCCCACAGTTTTCTCTGAAACAAATTCCTACACAGGGCTAAATGGAGTATGATGACAAGCAGTTAATGCGGTATGAAATACGGGCTGTGAAGTTGCAGTGTGATCACACCACTTTGTAAATTCTCCCCCAAATCAACTATGCCTCAGCTTACGCTTCAAAAATTTGAAGAGACTGTGGACCTGTCATCTGACAGATTACCGATGAATGAATAAATATAAGCAGGAAAGAAGCATTTTGACAAAAACATAAAACACATAGTCAATTTCCTCAAAACTTACAAGCTTTGAAAACAAAGCTAATTTTTCACTTTTCCCATAAGTGAACATAACCCCTCGTTCACAAAACTGACATCAAAATGTTATTATTATTATTGTTTTGGTTGTATAGCCCTTTGTTGGGCTCTAGCTGCTTTTTCAGTTTCCTAATCCTATACAGAATCTGTTGGGCTCCTTGGACAGGGGATCAGCCCGTTCAGAGGCCGCTACATATACACAGAATAAACAGGCACAGACATTCATGTCGAGAGTGGGATCTGAACCCATGACCCCAGCGTTCAAGCAGGTGAAGAGAGTTCATACCTTAGACAGCCACCATGATCAGTACCATCGAAATGACAACATCCATGCTGAAGTAAGACATTTAAGGATCAAAATGATTTCCAGCTTACTCTTGAGGAGACATTGCTTCATTCTCTCTATCTAATGCCGTCTTGATTTCTTGCATTTCCCTGCTTTTCCTCCTGCGTTCAGCCAAGTCATAGTTGCCAGAGTCCAATTTTTTTTCTTCTTCCACAAATGGTTGCTGTCGGGGTGTGAGTTCTACAAGCCCCGACTCACTGTCATCAGTACTGTTACTAACATCATTCCCAATGTCTGCTCCTTCATCAGACATGTCTTCAAAATCTGATTCATAATCCTGAAAAATTAACAATTGTGTATGACAGTGCAATGTAAGATCTACAATATGGTTTTTCATATAACCTTGGGTACACAGTCTCCTTAAGTACAAACTATGTATGGTGTATACTACCCAACTACTCATCCATTTCAAGTGTCTCTCTCTAAAACCATTAAAGTAAAGCTGTCAGTAAAATAGCATTTTAGTTTTTGAGACCATGAACCATCATAACTTGTCAGTGTCTAATGTTTTTACTTAAAAACTCATTGCATGTTTTGACATATATTGGTCATCTTTAGGTGGAACAATGTCAGAAAGTTAGTTAATAAATTGTTTTACTCTGTTTTCTATCTTATCCAACATGGATCCAGTGTTCTGTATGTTTACACTGATATTTCATATTCATTATTCTCTTTCCTCCTTTGTCACCTTTTTTATTGCATACAGTGACACTGTGATGGCACAAGTGTGGCTCATAACAAGGACTTGTTTATAGTGACAAGAACCACTGCAACTGCCCATTTCATAATGGAAAACCACTGCATAAAACATGGGCTTTTTTCAGGCACTTTCATCATTACGAGTGATTCCTAAGTAGCCTTCCCCCTCCATGTTTTCCCATAAACTTTTGCACCAACTGCATTTGCAGTTTTGCTTTCAAAGTTACTTATATCTAGCAGTCTGTAAAGGTCCAGTTAACACATCCCCTCTTTCCTATCCCTGTCCAGGAGAAAAACTGCATTCCACAACCTAACTGAGAGCAGCTTATGCCCTCCAAGTTTTAACCACTGAGATGTGTACATCAAATGATGTTCTCTTCAGTCCAGTAGCTTGTTTCACTGTGTGCTGTGTTTGTGATTTTGTGGCTGACATAATGAGAGGTAACCTGGGCTACCAGTGCAATATTACAGATGCAGAAACTGCAGATGGCACAGATCACATCCACGTATGTTACAGTGACCATTTTTCCAGTATGTGTGGCAACCTGTTCATTTGAACAGGTTAGAAAATGAAAGAGTTATGAGTTCATGTACAGTTTACACGCCACTACAACTTACCTTTTTATAGTCAAGTCTAATGGCTGTTTCACAACCACTTATTTACATAACATCAAGAAGTTATGTGCATTCCAACTGTTATGTTTAGAGCAATCCATAAAGGTAAACGGTAAAGTTGTCCCTGAGCTTTACTGATTAAGGACTATGCCATGAAGGCATATAAGAAGTGGATGTATAGATCCACATTTTCTTGACCTTGACACTAGTTGGAGGTGACTGGTCAGCTTCACGCCTTTGCCGCTGTAATCTGTCCCTTCAGTTCAATACTAGTAAACAGTATTTTTTTTTCATGTATGCACATGCAGCAAATTAAGAGTAGAATGTGGGAGAGATTTACAAGCATTTGACAAATAATGGACAAGACTTTGATTCATTAGGATGGCACCTAATTAGCAGTCAACTGCAGGTAGAAGAGGTTATGTAAATTTATGAAAATCTTAACACTTTGGTTCAGTTACTGCTACTGAAAATGAGAATGTTGAATTATTCTTTCTTATTTCCAAATCCCCACTAGAACCACTCCAAAGGAGGAGGAGAAGAGTATTGCTGTACCTGCATTATTACTAAAGTCTTAGTGCCTTATAACTGGAAGTTAGGGGAGGACTTGCAGTCTCGTATTTCCACCACTCTCAAATATGAGTGACTAGAATTATATGTCCATCTAAGTGTATTCGCAATCCACTGAGTTTCAATAACCCTGTACTATTTATTCACTCACACGAATAAACGCAAAGTTTATATTTAAAAAGATTTACTTTGCAGTGACTTGGTTTCCCAAGTACTGTCAAAACAAACTGAATTTCCAAATCCCCAATAGAAGTTCCTTCCATAAATCTTTAAATGGTGCTCTCAGTTTACAATTACTATGATACCTCAAAATCATCTTCATATTCATAGTCTCCATCATCATAATCATCTTGCTGTTGCTCATGAGTGCCACTGCCTCCCTCAGCGACAGAGGCTGCAGTAGAGTCAGTCGCCATGTTCTCAGCAGACTGCTTCTGCCTATCACTTGAAACTCTTGCTCCCTCAGGGTCACTTCTTGCCACCTTCACCTCTTGTGGACTCAGTGTTCTAGTTCGTGTGCGGTCTCGACTCAGTCTCTTTGGCTCATAAACCCTTTCTGCTTGCTGACCCCGATCTCTGTTTAGCTCCTTCCCTTCTGGGTGTTTGAGTTTGTTTGGCAGTTTTTCGGTTCTTGCTACCTCTTTCTGTGTAGATCCGTGATGTCTACTTTCTACGCGCTTTATATTCGAATTTGAAGTGGGGACTGTATACTTCTTCACACCTCCTTTAGTGGTACTGGTCACCTCTGGTTTTTCTGCAGCTACAAATAACAAGAGATAGTCACTACACAATAATGAAAATACCAGTTTTATTTGTAACCAGTAAAGGTAAAGCTATCCCTGTAAGAGGCCATGAAGGTCCATAGGGTTGTAAGATGTCGAGGCTCCCACATTTTCTACACAATTAACTCAAAGACAAGCTGGTTCACAACCTGAAGTGTATATTCACCTGCAGAAATATACTACATGATTGGCCAGATGAAGGTGCTCATAACAAAATGATCTGAGATCTCTCCTTCTACTCTGCAAGTTGATTTGAAGAGATGAAAAACTGACAAGTTTCGGTACAGAATTTCATAATGTTAACAAAAACTAAAGCCTGGTCCCATATTTGAAACAATTTAGTTGAAAGTAAAATATATGTGTTACCAAGAAAATGAATTCATTAACCCAGCTCTATTAACTATAGTAAACAGAGGAAGACTTTTAGTAAAATAAATTCTTTAAAGACTCCTTTGGACTCAACAATGGAAAAATTATCACTTTTATTTTCAGTTTAAATTTATTGCATAGTTCCACCTTCTCCTCCCAACAGTGCTTGCCTGACGTATCCACTTCCTTGCTATCCTCATACCTTAATTTCAAGGAATTCATTTCCTTCAAACAAAAAAGAAAATTACCATCTTGTACTTAAATTCATTTGCTGTATTTTATAAAGGCCCATGAACATAGAATTGATGGTATTATATTATGATGCCTACTTAACATCCTACTTACTGCGGGTAGCACGGTATGACAGCTGGGTCCTATGGGGTGCTGCATCTCCAGTAGTTGCTTTTCTCCCTGGGGTTCGATTTGGTGTTGACAGAGGATTCATATCTTTGTTACTTGTTTCCTTGGTAACGCGGCTAGTAGAGCGAGATTCCCTTGGTTGAAATCTGTCCTTCTTCACATTATCACTTGATAATCTTGTTTTCTCTGCTTCACGTTTTAGCACTTCAAGTTTTTCTCTGACTGAAGAACTCACCTTCCAGTCCTCTTTCTGGGACTTCTCTTTACTAGTACGAGAGCCTGATGAGTCTCTTGTTTTGTTGGTTCCCTTATCCCTACCTGATTCATATTTAGAACGAAGATCTTTGACACCATCTTTAACACTTTTCTTTTGAGGTGTACTGCTCTGTTGCTTTGCATCATATGGAGATTTCTTTACAGCACCCTGTAATGCAAATGATTTCAGCTGACTACTGGCTATGTGTAGGGGTTTCAGGACTCTGGTAAAGTGTTGATCTTTTTTAATAATGAGCTAAACAAAACATTTCGTTTGGGCTTCAAGCGAAGCTGCAACCCTCACTAGCTGCATCTACTGTTTACTGAAATTCTTATATAGAATTCTTCCACCATGAGCAGTGTTCATATACCATGGACAGAAGACATAATCAGCCTCTCACTCAATTTTACATTCCGTACCAGAGGCTTAATAAAGAAAAACATATCATAAGGATACAATTCTTACAGTGCCATCAATATAACCATCTAGTATTAATGGTATTTATTCTTACCCATTATATGTTTTGACCTTACTTCTGGGTCATCTTCAGGGGGTATGCATACTTAAACATCAGTCATCTGAATTGTTATGCCATACATTCGAACACAACATGGGTGTTTCTACAGGTTACTTTAATTTTATTTTTAAAAATTTAATATAATTTTAACAATAATCTTAACCCAATTAAACAACAAAATATGCACTGAGATTATGCACCACATGTATATTTACATAGATCTTAAATACATTCTCACATAGTACATTACATTTACATTAATTTTATTGAGTGAGTATTCTCATATTTATACTTACATATCTCACTACAGGACCTTATGAGAGATATCCAATTGGATAATGCTTATGAGCAAGGGATTGATGTTCTATTAGAATATATGGCATTACATTTCAGATGATTGATGTTTAAATATGTATACCACCTGAATATGTCTCAGAAATGAGTTCAAAACATGTAGTGGGTAAAAATAAACATTATTTATACTACATGGTTGTGTTGATGGTACTGTAAGAATTATTCATATGAAACACAACAGGATGCTACAATCAAATATCTTAAGAAACATAATACATAAAACCTGGAACTTATGAATGAAAAGGATCACGAAATTTCAGAAAATATAATTAACTGCAAAAATGTTGTGTATTTAATTTCATGGTCTTGGACTATGTTGTTCATGTAAGATTTGTGGTTTTCATGGCGGTGACTATGAAGAAAGCAGTGGGATCTGGCACCGTGTAGATGTGGTGTTAACCGATGTTTCGGAGGAACGTATCACCTCCATCTTCAGGTTAGAAGAAAAAATAAGAAAATCTGCAAGCAGATTTTCTTATTTCTGCTTGCACTTGTTCTCACTGTCTCTTCGCTTGCGAATTTTCTTAATTTTCCTTCTACCCTGAAGATGGAGGCGATACGTTCCTCCGAAACGTCTGTTAACACCACATCTACATGGTGCCACATCCCAGAAGACTGCTTATTTCATATGTTGTTCATATTTGAAAATTTTGAGAATCACAACTGAAATCTGCCGCTCACAGGAGCTGAGCGGTTTAAGGCGTATGCGGTCTTGAACCGCCGAAGCACTGGGATCAGGAGTTTGAATCCCGATCGAGGTATTGATATATGTTGGTGGTATTGTTACATTACTCATTGTAATTAAAGTAGTTAGCTGGTCACGGTAGCCGAGCGGTCTAAGGCATGTACTGTCTTCGCTCGCTTGGAAACCGGGATCGTGGGTTCGAATCCCACTCAGGGCATGAATGTTTAGTTTGTGTGTGTGCGTTTTTCTGTGTTTGTGTACAGGTAGAGGCCTTGCGACGAGCTGATCACCCGCCCAAGGAGTCGCACCGAATGTGTAAGATCCAGAAAAAACGAAGTGAACGGAGAAGTTCACTGGGGCTGTAGTGCCAAGAAAAAAAAATTAAAGGACTTGCAATGACCCGACTCCAAGAAGTTCCACAAAATGCTCACAGGAATTTATTTCAATTAATTCAGAATCGAAATAAGCGAGAACTGAAGGAGTCTAAAATGTATGTGACGTACGTTTACCACGGTTATAAACCAGACCATGCATTGTTAAATTTACTTCATTCGAACACGTACATGCATATACTTACTCTGTCGGGCGGCATGGTGTCTTCAATTTTCACCAAATGTATGTGACAAACTTAGAAGTAAACAAAAGTATGCGTCTTTCAGTATCCCATAGTGATGTACTATTTACAAACAAAGCTATTTGAATGTAGTTATCGTAGTTATAGTACGACAGAGAAATTATTGATTTAATTTCCCGGACTACCGGCAGAATGCATTACTTTCCAACATCACGTCATATGTCTACAAGAGTCTCCTCACAATGCTCACAGAATGCACTAGCTAAGCAGGCTCCGAACCGGAAATGACGTAGAAGAACCACCCATTTAATGTGGGCGGGAAAATGTAATAAATCGTACAGGATTTTTCTGCAATTGTGAAGGTTTCTCATTTTCAAAGAAGGTGAAAGCTCATAAGGATTTTAAATACGGAATTTGTTAAGACAGTTGGAGCCCATCTTTGTCTCGAATTATGCCAGAACAGAATATACTACGGTCACAGTTTGTGGTACCAGTTTCCCTACATCGAGGTTCTTGCATTTTGAAAAATTTTCCACCAGGATCTAGTTTCCAGGGCGGTCCTACGCATCCAGAAAAGAATATAACGATCCTGGGCGAAGCGTTCATATATTAGGGTAGGTGTGGTGCAGAACCTTCTTCCTTAAATAAACAGCAAACTTTGGATTTATAAAGCTCATCCAGGAAGTTATGAATAGGATGCAGAAGCATGAGGACTAGTGGGCAAATGGAAATTTGTGACAGCAAGGAAGGCTACTGAAACTACTGATCACATCACAGTTATGTAACCAGGTTGGGTCAAATAAGGAATACTGTTTCGGGTGAAAGAGGAGGAAAGATTAGAAGCATGGTGTAACTGACAATGCAAGGATTTCTGCTGGAGAACTGTTGGACTGCTGTTGGATGCTGTGTCTGAGCCGCAGAAGTGGGATATCCTGAGATAGCAAAACTGGACAGTCGGCATCTATCTTTCCACCTGACTATCTACATCTCGGAGACCTGTGTATTATGGCCGAACTTGATTGGTACATTTTGTCAACACCAGTGTCAGGAGAGAGACTGTGTTAAGCACGAGAATCTTGTTGTGGAAGGAGATTACATAGAGATGAGGTAAGGCAAGGGAGGTGTGGAAGCAATGTGAAGTATGCATGGTCTGCTGCAAGTAAACTTAGATTGTGGGAGTACAATGAAATAGTACACCAGCTATTCATAGACTTTAAGAAAGCTTATGATTCTGTTGAAAGGGAAGTATTGTACAATATTCTTATAGAGTTTGAGGTGCCCATGAAACTAGTTAGGCTGATTAAAATGTATTTGAATGAAACATATATTGAGGTCTGTATAAGTAAATATTTATCTGATAATTTTCTTATCCAAATTGGTCTAAAGCAAAGATATGCTTTATTGCCACTGCTTTTCAACTTTGTTTTAGAATGTGCCATTAGGAAGGTCCAGGAAAACCAGTTAGGACTGAAGTTAAATGGGACACATCAGCTGTTGTTCTATGCTGATGATGTCAATCTACTGGGTGATAATATAGATAACATAAAGAAAAACACACAGAATTTAATTTATGCTGGTAAAGGAGATCCTGTCACTTCATCTCTCTTTGGTCCAAATATTCTCCTCAACACCCTGTTCTCAAACACCCTCAGTCTATGTTCCTTCCTTAATGTCAGAGACCACACACCCATACAGAGACACAGGCAAAATTATAGTTTTGTATATTCTAATATATACGTTTTAAACAGCAGATGAGAAAACAAATGGTTCTAGACTGAAAGGTAGCAAACATTACCCGAATTTAATCTCCTCTTAATTTCCTCCTGAATCAGGTAATTTTGCCATTGCAAAGTTGAAATGATATAAATCGCCAGGTAGTGATTAAATTCCAGCAGAACTCATTCAAGCAGGAGATGAAATATTAAACTCTAACATCCATAAGCTAATTAATTCCATTTAGAATAAGGAAAAATTGCCTGATCAGTGGAAGGAGTCTATTATTATACCTGTTCACAAGAAGGGTGATAAAGCTGACTGTAGTGATTATCATGGTGTATCACTGCTATCAACTTCATACAAAATTTTATGCAATATTCTTCTCTCAAGGTTAAGTCCATACATAGATAAAATTATGGGGATCATCAGTGTTTGTTTCGAAGTAACAGATCAACTACTGATCAGATCTTTTGCATTCGTCAGATACTGGAGAAAAAAAAAACTGGAGTTCAGTGAGACAGTACAACAGCTATTTGTAGACTTCAAGAAAGCCCATGATTCAGTTAGGAGGGAAGTATTGTACAATATTTTGATAGAGTTTGGGATACCCATGAAATTAGTTAGGCTGATTAAAATATGTTTAAAAGAAATATATAGTAAAATCCATATTGGTTAACATTTTTTGTCTGATAATTTTCTTCTCCAGAATGGTCTAAAACAAGGAGATCTTTATCACAACTCCTTTTCAACTTTGCTTTAAAATATGCCATTAGGAAGGTCCAGGGAATCCAGGTGGGACTGAAAATAAATGGGACACATCAGCTGTTGGCCTATTTTGATGATGTGATTCTACTGGGTGATAATATAGATACCACAAAGAAAAACACAGAAACTTCAAATGACGCTAGTAAGGAGGATGGTCTAAAAGTAAACACAGAGAAAACTAAGTATATGTTGCCGTCTCATCACCTAAATACAGGGCAAAATCATGACATAAAAATAGTTAAGGAATGTTTTGAAAATGTGGCACAGCTCAGATATTTGAGAATGACGAAAACAAATCAAAACCTGATTCAGAGGAATCTGACAGAGGAATAAATTGCTGCAGTGATATTTTTTATTTATTTTCATCAACACTACCTATATTATTAAATTTTCNTATTATTAGATTTTCAATTTATTTATTTTCTAACGTTTTTTCTTTAAGGGATATATTTTGCTTAATTAAACTGGATTATCATTTAATCCGAACAACTTCCCTGGTCCAATTTATCCGGATTGGAGAAGATTTACTGTACTCGAGAATTTGTGTTGATGGACACGGTACACTCCCATACTTAGGTGACGATCTGACTCTCCCTGCTACTTTAGATAGCTATGTCATACCTCATGTAGATAATGTTCAGGAAGAAAAGTCCCATATGCTCAACGGGATCCCCCATATTACCGCTCTAGTCTCCAGTGTGTATGTGGTTATCACATACATGAAATTAATAACATGTGTAAAATAGAAGAGTTCAGATACTTGGAAGCGACAATAACAAATCAAAACCTGATTCAGGAGGAAATTAAAAGGAGATTGAACTCGGGTAATACTTGCTACCATTCAGTTCAGAACCTTTTGTCCTCTCGTTTGCTCTCAAAAAACTTAATAATTAGAATAAATAAAACTATAATTTTGCCTGTGGTTCTGTATGCGAGTGAAACTTGGTCTCCAACATTAAGGAAGGAACATAGACTGAGGGTCTTTGAGAACAGCGTGTTGAGGGGAATATTTGGAACGAAGAGAGATGAAGTGACAGGAGGTTGGAGAAAACTGCATGATGAGGAGCTTCATAACTTGTACTCTTCTCAAAGTATAATTAGAATGATCAAGTCAAGGAGGATGATGTGGGCAGGGCATGTAGAACGAAGGGGGGGAACGAGGAATGCCTATAGGATATTGGTGGGAAAGCCAGAAGGAAAGAGACCACTGGGAAGACAAAGGCGTAGGTGGGTTGATATTATTAAAATGGATCTTAGAGAGATAGGATAGGATGGTATGGATTGGATTGGTCTGGCTTAGGATAGGGACCGGTCGAGGGCTCTTGTGAACACGGTAATGAATCTTCGGGTTGCATGAAATGCTGGGAAATTCTTGAGTAGCTGCAGAATTGGCGGCTCCTCAAGAAGGGCTCAGTTGTATGAGTGAGTAAGTAAGTAAGTATAATAGAAGACCAACACTACTCTCGTTTCCAGATTTTTTGCAGGATGTCTCCTCGGCCTGCTCCTGTTACATGCCAGAGGTGTCTGTATAACCCATCTATTGTCGCTCTGGCGCAGGCGCAGTGGCATCTGAACAGCGGAAGGGTTTGAGGCGTTATTAATGATCATATTAATGATGGCTTTTTATACATCCCCCTTACTTCCTTGGACCGATGATTTTTCAAAACTGTTTTTGTAGAATATTCACAAAACCTTTACACTCTTTACCCTTTTGTTTATTTTCTTTCCATCTTTATCGACATTTTCTTTCTGTTGCCTTGCTCCTTTCTCTGTACACGCCGGGCAAACTAGCTACAATTGGGTTGCTTCCAACGCTTCATTAATTATGTAGCGTGACCTTTTTCTATGGCGGGGCATGACGTCACGTACGTAATAGTTATTCGATGTCTCACAGCGTGGCCTATATTTTGTCTGTCCGCAGAGGCAAAATGTCCCCATATTCCTAAATTAAGTGTAACACTTGAAGACAAGTGCATAGTGTTCCATAAAATGTTTTCTACCCACATTGCTGAGACGGAAGTCTCTGTATACCTACAGAATAAGATACACAGACGGTGGATGATTTATGAAAACACTGCATGCTTGTTTCCACTGGCACAAATTGAAAATTTCGCACATTTAAATTTATTTGTGTATGAACTTGATTTATGTTTTGAAGATGTAACTGCATACTGCTCGTATTTACTGCTTTACTTAAAGTCGACACTTTAATCATTGGAGCATTCACAACGAAAAGTTGGCAGAAATGCGACTCTTAACCTTCGTCATGTCAGCCACTCTAGAACAACACTGATGCACACTACATGAAAGCCTACGTGCGTTACTGCGCACATATGGAGCTCACCTCACGCTTAAATCCCTAGACATTTTCCGTCACAAAATATATTTCGAAACGCAAAACAGCTGTCGCACTGGCAAAACATTTCATAATTCGTTGTCTATGGAAAGTAAAATTAAAATACTTAGCTACTTATGATGCAGCACAAGCTGTAAAAGAGACTTCAATATGATATATAAAAAAGAAGCTATCCCTATAACAGGCGGTTGAAGCCTATAAGGGTTGTCAGACGTCGAGGCTCCCATATTTTTTAGACAGTCGGTTCACAGATGGCGGTGAGGTTGTCAGCTTTACGCACCAGCCACCTCCAAGAAGATTCCTGGTACTCATTTCTGTTAGAGGCTGAGCCGACCCTAGGGTTATAGTGCGGCTGGAAGTTTTAGGT